ACTTCGGATAGGGCGTCGATTTTTAGGGTATAACCCCTCATTTTGAATTTCCTTTGCACTTTGTTTCTCATTGTGCTCATCTTTAGCCGCTCTTCTCTTTTTTCTCCTTCCCTTTTTCCTCTGTGTTTTTTTGCTGTTAGCTCGAGCTTGGAGGTGGAAAGTGTGATGCTGTGGATTTGCGATAATGGAGGTAGGCGGCAATGTGAAAATGGCGGGAACCAATGGTCTTAGATGAGTTTTACTGGGTTTGCTCTTTTGTCTGGCTATGAGGGTTTATCTTGGGCCTCAGGCATGTGTTACGGTGTCTTAATGGGCTGGATTTTGTTTGGTTTGTCACAGGATCTTTGCTAATGGGCTTTTGTTGTGCTAATCCAGTCATCCATTGTTGGTTCGATTTAATAATGAGGAAATTATATGGTGCACGACTCTTTATATATTTAATTACATTTTTACACTTAAACAATTAAATTTAGCAAAAGTACAAAATCCTGTCATTTTAATTGCAGTTATACGAAAATAAGAACATAAATATATTTCTTTCATTATCGCTGATATTGTGGGATAACTTACCAAATAAAATCGAAACTACCCCCCAATATCGCACATAATCAATCCTCGCTTATCTCACACACCAAACCCACGAACAGAAAAACGCAACTCTCATCTGTAAACCCTAGTTTCCAGATCATGGCTAAAACCATAATACTGTAGATATACTGAATATAAACAATTAATGTTGCCACCCGTAATCGATATATGTACATAATATAAAATTATGTTTACCTTTTCTACAGCATTCTTTATGCTCTCGTGTCCATCTGAAACGATGCATAACCCATCTCTGTCACCAATCAGTGTTTGTAATTTGTTGAAAAACCACAAGTATGACTGATTGTTTTCCGAATCAACAACACAAAATGCAAGTGGTAGAATGTGAAAATTCGCATCTTGACAGCATGCTGTTAGCAAAATTCCTCCATACGATGATGCTAGAAATGTCCCATCCACAACAACAATCGGACGACAATACTTCCATCCTTTTGCAGATGCGCTAAGAGACATGAACACGTACAAAAAATTCTGATCCGGAGTTGCACACAACTTCAGTATACTTCCTGGATTTGCTGCACGTAACTTCTCAAGATATTGTTGAACACAATCATAAGAATCACTAGCATTTCCCCGAACTTCATCAACAGCTTTGCGCTTTGATCTCCATGCCTTGTGATACGACAAGTTTATACCGTATCTGATTTGCATGTCATCTATGATGTCAGCAGCCGTATATGAACTCTTATTGTTCATGAACTTCGACTTGATAAGGTTGCAAACAACATTCGAAGTAGCTTGCCTCTGACCACTTGCTCGAACATCAAATGAACATTTATGTTCGGTTCCGAGCTCTCTTATCTTGAAGGTGCTTGAATGACCAACACGAGATGCTTTAACAAACCATGTGCAATCGTCGGACATACACTTCACATAATACTGCTTGTTACACGACTTTTCAACACGGAACTGATATTGATTCTTAATTGCATGGACACTTAAAAACCTCTGCAAAATTGATTTATCCTTGAATGAAACCCCCACAACCAAATCAGAGGTCAACTGATCCTCGATCGAAACAATATTATCAGGATGCTGGTTTATGTCCAGTTTATGTTCAGTATATGCGGCGTCTTCTACCATATCTTCAGCAACTCTGCGTGCAAACTCCATAAAATTCATAGGCCCTTCAGGATTTTCAACATATTTGTCTAGAGCAGCATACCTCAAAGGAGCTATACATGTGTTCAAATCATTTTCGACATAGGTCGTGGCTCTCTCGTCCGACCTCTCCACCACAAATGTAGAGTTTACTACAACACATACAGGGAATTTCGTGTAGTCTTGGTCCCTTGACTCCTCGACGTAGAATTTTAGACTTCTATCATCTTTTATGCGCATCGGTGGATATCCGTCTTTAAGTTGGTATTTCAACTCCAAACTACAATCTGTCGATGTAACTCCAAGTTCATCCATGACAACAATGCACAACTCGTCGTAGGAGCATTGTTGTTGAACCAAAACACCCGACACCTGAAAATTAATGTAATCATTCTCCTTCCACTCACCACCGTGATGAATTATTATCATCATGGGAGAATCCATCTGTAACAAAAAAAAAAAAAA